GAAGAAATACCCATAGACCACGGCTTCAAAGCCCGGAAAACATTCCTAAATGTGACCATAAATGAATGTCACGTTTTTATCAGATCGCTTAGTGCCATTTTTGTACTGTAAAGGCCCCATTCTGTAAAAAACCAGTTTGCATATATTTACATATGCTATAAAATAAGTATCAGACAATGGTGTTTCAAAAAAATGCTTTGCACGTTCAGCATTGACAGCAGTCTGAAAAGAACGCTACATAAATTTCATATTATTTTGTGACAAGAAATCCTCTGGAAATCTGTATTCTTTGCGAAACATTGTCGACTTTCTTCCCTTCTGGAATATATAAGATTTATTAAACCAAACCTTTAAAAAACGTTCTTATTTCTATTTGGCTTCTTAATATTTTCCCATATAACATATACACAAATGCCAGCTCCTGTAGGATTACAATGACCTGACCGCGTTTCAGTTAGATATTTCATTCAATTTATTACTGAGCGGAGGGCACAACGCCAGCCTGTTTTAAAGAGTTCAAAATGTAGTGCATGTTGTTATGTCTAAATGCAGAAAAGTCGAGGAAAAGCTGTTGGCTGGCAAGGGAAATGATAAACGTCTATTAGATATAGGTTTTGCTGATAAATTAGTTCACAACGGAGTAAATATGCAGGACTACACCAACCAAGTTGTTTGGAGAAAATTTTTAAATTGGCATTTAGCCAATTATGGACACAACAGAAACCACGCAAGTTTCCAAACACGTGTAGCTTTGGAAATCTTCAAAATATACTTAAAATTAATTACAAGTACAATTAAATACCCAACTATGTTTTTTGCGCATAGTGATGGCATGGTGACGCATGTAGCGTTGATTGAAAGAGTAAAATCGTTGAATCACAGAAAAAAAATCTGGTTTAAACATTTAAAACATTAAACATCCGGAAATATCTTATCAATGTTAGGGAGAGTTCGAAAATAGACTTTATTATTGATAACAGGAAAATAGGCAACATTTTGAACAACTTATAATTTAGTGCGTAAGTAGATCCCATGTGTTTTATTGTGAAATAATCAATAAATCTGAAATTAATTGCTTAAACTAAATTTTATTCCTGTTATTCAACGATTTATTGTTATTCAATTATTTGTGACATAAGGAGACCCAATGACATAATTTTTGTTAAACACTAATCTGAAAAGCAAAATCTCAATGCAGGCAAGTTTAATTGTTTCTGCAACTTTCAAACGCGATTATTCGAAAACTTCTTGACAAAAAGCAACCAAGTAGAAACGAGTGTAAACATAATTGAACGTCCTGTAAAACCGATGTGCCACTTGACCCCCCYTGCCATTTAAGATTCTCAGGGTGAGATCTACCCCTCCTTTGGGRTTGAAACAAGGAGGCTAAACATTTTAATTTAAAGTGTCCCCCTTACAAATAAAATTGACGGGTCCTTCCGATTTTTCATATTTTGAACTGCAAGAAAGATATTAAGGGTGGGAAGTTTTCAAATTGACACCCGGTATACATATTAGTATATAGTTTTATTTTGTTTAGCAATGTGTTATTCAGTGACATGGTATATGATGCCATACTAAGACAGCATCTAATTACTAACTGGATCCATATGCAAATTGTGTTGCAGTGCTAAATTAATAAAAGGTCTAATTCTTATTCAGCATCGCTTCACTGCATACATTATACGAATTTCATAAAGTTTTCTTTACTTTAAATGCATATGAATATTTTCGAAGGGCGTGATACGAATTTATTAGTTCTTGTGCTGTTTGTTCTGCGGTTTAAGCCATATGGTTTCGATCTGAATAATTACTTCCGCGTCGCTCATCTACTGGTAGTCAGACTTACTTTGTTTTCATACATTTAATACGAGATACGTGTTCAAAAAGTATAACGGCGTTATAGGTCTTTCAATGTATTTCAATAAAAATGATGCTTGGTTAAGTCCAATAGATTTTCACTGTTAAATGATTTTTGAAATTACTATAACAGTGAACAGACATAAAACACTAAATACATACATTTCGACGCAAATATTTCAAAATTGTAGGATTTACATCTATTCCTTACCTTAAACAGGAGGAGGTAGCATATACAGGGTGTTTCAAAATTGGCGTCATTCCTTTTAAGTGGTGATAGAGGCTCCCTTGAGGAGAACGAGAAAAATATTGAAACATTTTTTTTCGAAAATTTCTGGAAGATATTAACAGTTGAAGATCGAATTTCAACTTTGTTATTAAGCGTTATTTTGAAATTGTTCCATGTTTAATTGGTCGCATATTAGACTACTTAAGCTATCAAAAAGAAAAATTACTAT